CATATCCTAAATGTATTTTTTTAAAAGTTGTATGGAAATTAAAAAATGTTTACTTTAGTGCTGTACGTATATTTGCTCTAAACTGTTGTTGCTATACCTCCACCAGATTTATTGGAGAATTAATCAAAATTGTTTCTCCCATGTATTCGAAATTTGTTTGATTTATTCTAATGCACACATACTTGCATAAATAGTTTTTCTTTTTGTTCTATGTATTGAAGTAACTAAGATTGATAGACAGAATGCAGCTACAGAAATATACATATAATATGCGACATATGGCAGCTGGACGAGCAATTAATTTCTAATCTAATCTCTGTTACGATGTGACATACGGCTAAGTGATGCATCTAGAATTGATGAAAGGCTTTACAAACATTGATGCGCTACTTATGAAAGATTTCAAAAAATTCAATTCAAGTTTTGTACTTATCTCATTTCCTTCCGCCGTCTCGTCATTGATTTTCCGTTTTCAAGATTAGTTTTGCTTATGTCATATTTATTAATCTCTATCTTCATCTGCAAGCAATGGCCACATTCGCGGCAACCATACAATTCAAAAACCATCAACAAAGACTAACAAAAGACAACATAACAAGTCATCAATGAGGATAACAAGCACCAATAAAAAAACTTTCAACTGACATGAACATGTGATATTATTTATTAAAAAAAAAAAACAATAATATGACAAAAGACAAAACACATTTGCTGCTGTTCTTTTGCTTTTTTTGGTTTTTCTTCGCCCAATCCCTATATGAATAAATTGGCTCATGGTCGCCGTCTTTCCTCCGTACAATTTTGCGCCTTATTAACAATACATGTAAGCATGCACTGCCACTCATCATACATTTGCAGTGGTTGCCGCCCTCTACGCTATCGCAGATACGAATGCAAAATTGATTTTTGCCTTAAGATTTTTTACATAGTCTTTGCAATCAGTAAATGTCCACAGAGTTACTCATATTTCAACTAATTTCATTTCGTCCGGTTCAAAGGTGAGATCATCGGCATAAGTGAAAGCATTTACGGAGACACATTATTGCCGATCCCTCCCGATCCAATCTCGTTTCAATCTCTAGTATCATTAATGACAACTGAGTATCGTCAGTATTGAACGGATATATCGAGGAATGGATTAAATCCTTGTGTTTTATAGTAGTACTGCTGGGTGCGAACGACTGTAAGTGCTCGAGGCGTTAGAGGTGCCGTAAATTACAAAACCGCATTCAATATTTTCACGAGCATATGCAACGCCTACCATTACAAAACCTTGATTAAATTCCGGCTGATTAATGTAAGCAGTTTCATCCACGTAATTAATAACAACCATAGCTTTTCCTACAATGGATACCATACCTTACACTGCATAACTGTGTCAAAGTAAATCCGTGGCGGTGGCTTTAGCAATTTATTTATCATAGATTGAATCCACTTTCGTTTGGCGATGAGCTCGTTAACAGGCATATAGATGGCAGAGACGATGAATGTAGCACAAAATGAAAATCCGATCACTCTTATTAATCCAATTATTTTGTCTGCGTAGAGTGCAGGACTACCAATTGCTTCAAAGAACTCCCAATGCTGGGCAACTGCCTGCCCTCGGGGCTTT